TAGATTTTTGCAGCACGGTTTGGAGCCCATGTTATCTAAAACATATACAAAGAATAGAAAGAGTGCAGAGTAAATTTATTAAATCTCTTAACTTTCGCAACAATGTGGCCGATGAATCATACAGTGAAGCTTTGGTTAGATATAAACTGCTTAGTCTTTCTAATCGTCGTAAAATATTTGACATTATTTTTCTTTTCAAACTCTTAAACTCACAAATTGATTCGTCCATTCTTCTCAGCAAAATTTCCATTTTAGCACGAGTTCGTCTCCCGGTGCGCTCCTCACGTAAATTGCAATTTTTTGTTCCTTCGCCGTTACGCAAAAACTATACACGTAATTCTTATATGTGTCGTTCCACCAACGTTTATAACAAAGAGTTCTCCGATTTGGATCTTTGTAATATATCTATCAATGGCTTAAAAAGAAAACTAAATTATATATTGATGGAAAAACCAAAAAAATAGTGTTTATGGAAATTTCTATTTGTGTTATAAGTTGTTAACATTTAATGTCAATAAATTGTTAGCATTAGATGAATACACGTGCAAATCTGACTATGTTGAGACTCTATTTGCTGCTATAAATGTAATAAACTTTGGGGCGCTGTTTGGTCTATTAATATTAACATATATGCATGTACCTCAATATTATGTAAATGACTGTTTGTTGCCAAAATAAATGAAAAAAAAAATATATCATTGTCGAATATGTACTGATTTTCATTTCTCATTACGTCCGTTATGGCACTGCTGTTCAAATTTCCATACAAAATTTGATAAAGACATTTCGGACTCGCAAACTATTCGAATTCGATATTGGTTCGTGCTCGCAGTTGCTACAGCAATATTCTCTTGACTTTTAGATGAAGTGGTTGCCCATGTTAGTTTCGACTACACAATGTTATCGAAAAAAAATTCTTATCAAGTATTTGTTTGACATACTTACGGAAGGAATGCATACTTCCTTTCCTTTACAGCGTTAATTAACAACCCTATAATATTATGACGACCTCTGTGGCCGAGTGGTTTATACGCCGGGTTTCATGATGTTGCCGACTCGAGAGGTCACGGGTTCGAATCCCGGTGGTGGTGATGTTTGTGTGATGAATACGAACATTTGTTCCTCCAGTCATGGATGTTTAATATGTATTTCTATATAAATATACTTATATATGTACAACATATGTATTCTATCCGTTACCCTAGTATTCCATAACACAAGCCTTACAGTGCTTACTTTGGGGCTAGGCTAATTTTGGTGTGAGTGTTGGAAATATTTATTTATTATAATGTAATTCAAAGTGCATTTAGGTACAAACTCCTACATTGCCGTAATATAACTTTGTTTACTTAATATAATACCTAACCTAAAACAACAAACAAAACACACAGGTTGTTTTACTGTTCGACCGGAACGTGTTACATAGAAATCAGTAGGCTCGTGCTGTGTCGATGACGAGTTGTTATTGACACTTGGTTCATTATTCTTATTGTAAGTTTGCGTGTTTTGTATATTATACACAGATTTTAGTCGATCTATTGAGATGCTTATTAAACGCAGATTTTAGTCGATGTATTGAGGTACGTTACGATTCAGAAACCTAATTACATAAACTTTAATTCCCCTCCTTAATACGTAGTACGGTCCGTCGTATGTGGGTGTAAAAGGTTTATGTACAATTCATTTCGCACGAAAACGAATTGGCATTTCCTTAGATGCACAAAAATAACTTCAGTTGCATTTGATATGGGATGTGGCTTAAAATTGTTCAAAATGTTGCGTAATTTAGAAACATAATGTACAATCATTACTAGTATTTCTAGGTTTCAGCATAAGTTATTACGTTCGCAATCGAATCTAGTTGTTTATTTTATTGTTGTGAAATAATGAGCAAGATCGCAAACATAACTATTAATATTTATGTTTAACATATTATTATATTACATTAAATAACTACTGATTTGAATTAATTTTTTATTAAATAAACGATTAAATGTATTTTAGTGACATATACCTTTTTCTATATGATTATTATGAGTTATGTTGCTCGAAATAAATGAATTTTATATTTATAAACATAATAAAAGTAATAGACCAGAATTGTAAAAAAAAACGGCCAAGTGCGAGTCGGACTCGCGAACCGAGGGTTCCGTACAAACCTGTAGGTATACTTTAATAATTATTAAAAAATATTTTTTATTATATGATGTAACTAAAAATTTAGCAATTTTCCCCTTATCTGTATCCATAAGACGTTATTTCGTACCAAATTTTAAGATTCTAAGTTCATGGAAAGTACCGTGTAGGTTTTGATTCCCGTGCGAGTTTCGAAAATTTGATGAAATTTGCGGCATAAACGGCTGTATCTTTTGATTGTTTTGGCTTAGAAGTTTTATTTTTTCACAGCTCCAAGGGACAGTAGACCTGAGTATTAGATATCAATTTCACGGACGGACGGACGGACGGACAACAAAATGACTCTATAAGGGTTCCGTTTTTCCTTTCGAGGTACGGAACCCTAAAAATTAAATGTGTGTTGGGACACATAGTAGAAGTGAAACTTCTACGGCCGTCAACACAGCCTTTGCCTGCCTGCTGCCTTTCACCGCGCGATATATCGTCTACCCCATCCTTGCGGCCGTAACACTTTTTTGGGACAGAAAAATCCTAATAATCCGCTTCTATAATATAGAAGTTTCACTTCAAAAACAATAATTATCCGTTTAATGTTCAATTGAAGCAACCGTCCACTGGCGTCGATTCTGGCATAATTCTCTAAACTTAAAACTAAATTTAACATAAGTCTCTCGTTTTCATACTATATAGAGAATGACAAGGATGCACTACCAATTTGGAATTTATGATAATTTTTAGTATATTTTTTGCGATAATTATCAGTATTTAGATTGTGGCGGATACTTCCAGTTAAGTAAGCTAAATTAAAAAATAATCTGAGACAAAAAATACCATTTTATGCGTATAATCTATGGCAGCGCTGCAAACAAAACACTTTCTTCCTAATGCCGGCACTTCACTTGGCTATTCGTATTTGTTATTTTAAAACATGACATCAGTCTGTCCTTTTCATTCCTTATTAAGCATGACAAGGACAAACTGTTGTCAAGTGAAGGGCCGGCATAAAACTCGTTACTCTGTGGTTGTGGTGCATGCAGTTTGCATTCGTAGTAATCTGTGGCATTCGTGCATTCCAAAGAGTACTAAAATATATCGGAAAGTGCATTCTCGTTTCGGATTACCTGTTGTGTGTGTTTATTTGCGATTGTTTTTCCTTTAATTTAACTATTTCGGCTATCTAATATGCCATCGATGTTACAAAAGAGCAGAGCCCTTATTACCAAGTGCTAGTGAACCTGTGCCACAACATCCTGAGAGGATCATACTGCCAAAATATTCAAGAACACCTGATACACATTCACGCTGCATATTTACACAATATACATGTGTTAAAGAAATATATACATTAAGATACAATTATGTGAAAAATAGTCAATAAATATTATGAAGCAAAACTACAGTTTTTATTTAGTCATGATTCCTACCTAATCAACTTTTTCCTAATAGTTATTCTTTAAAATCGCACCAAATAAAATGAATTAGTTGTAATATTAATTCACTTCATACTGAGTTTGTACTAACCTATGTTTCATTGAATATTAAACATAACCTGAAAAAAATAGTTTTCCTAATAATTTAAATTCTCAGAAGTGTCCGTCAATAATCTTTTGTTTTTAGAGTCATTTACTTACGATTTTGAACCTAGGAAATAAGTAGTCCGAAAAAGATTGTCCTGGTCTTGAAATATATCTATGTGTGCTTGCTCGAGCGCACTTTGTATGTAGATAACCTTCTGTACTGTCGATTTTGTGATCGCAAGCTGCCAATATAGCGTCTCAGAGAAAGTCATTTTTATGGGCCGTTATGTCAAAAAGCAAAAGTAACGCGAAAAATCAACCTGAAATAGAACATAATCCTTTAAATTCAAATACGAGTCATATTTAATATTAAGAATATAATAGGTATTAAAAAAACTTTACTAATATTGCAAACATTTTCTGATTATAAAGATTGAATAAAACGAAATTTTGGTGGTAATCGGTGCTGTTTTAGTAGAATTGCTAGAGAAAACCGTGCATTGACTGGACTAATTCGCTCTAAAATCGAACTCACACCGATTGCATTCCGTTTCAAGGTATAAATGACCATGCCAATGTATTATGTGATATTAGCGAAATTTGTAATTTGTAAGACTGTTCGAATAAATTAAGGACAGCCCTTTGATTACATTTTTTTTTATTTAATTAGTTATTAGTTATTTTAAAAATATGTATTTATGTGCTTGTACAGGTGCCCACTATATTCTTTGTTTTATTTATTTTTATTTTGTAATAATAACACGGTAAATGTTTATTTATAAAAGATTCACAGTTTTGGAAATGGGACACAACAGCAACAGGGCAGTAAATTAGGGTGTTTGTAGTGATTTTTATTGAATATTTATTTTATTAGTATAATATTACGATTTTGACCAAAGTCATGCCATGAATAGCTATTATACCGTCGATATCAAAACATTCATTTCAGAAATAATGAGATTTATATATTTTACTATTAGTGAATAAATTCTCATTTATAGAATCCCCAGGAAACCTTTCATGGAAATCAGCATTCCGGAATATCTGCCCATGGGAAAAGTTCCACCACATACAATAGTCACTTATTACTCTAGGTACTTTTTCTTAATAATACCAATTTATTTGATTAAAAACATAAGTAGAGCTTTCGAAGCATCACAAATTAACAATCTAACTGTAACTATTCCCGATAGACAGGCAGTGACGATCCCAGTATCAATTTAATTTATAGCGCTCTATAGGTTAGGTACCTACAGAGTGGCGCTATCACAAAACTAAATAAAATAAAATAATTTATTGTTCGGACATCATAGATCCATGTGTTACCTAGTATAAGTAAAACGCGAGTTGGTTGAGCACTGATTTTAATTTGTTTTATAAATTTACAGATGACAATGCATTGTCTATGATTATTGTACAAAGTATTTATAACAGAAAACTATAAAAACATGGTATAATAAAAACGGGTAAAAAATACAAGTTGGTCGTAACACCTAGTGTACAAAAACTTAATTCTTTGTTACAAAATTATATTAAAAGCAGATATACCTATCTAGTAATTTTCCAATTAAAGGACAGTAACCAAGATTAACTAAGTCCCTCTCAACACGGCTGCGGCTACCGCGAACCCATCTGACCAATAAACCTGCCTTTTTGTGCAAAAGGCCCGGGAAAATGTCGACCTGCGTATCTGTGACCATTCCCGAACCACCACAATATCGTGGCAGCTGCAGCAGTTTTCTGACAGCACTATGGTATTGGACACAAAGGACACTGTATGATTTTTGGGTAAAATTAACCCATAAGCTGCTCGAGTCGAACGATGTACAAAAAGACTTAAAAAGAGTTATTTTACAGTGTCACAACATCGAGCTAACCTACGGCCCAACTAACCCTCTTAGACCTTCACTCCCTTTCAAGGTCAGCGTTATCCTTTACAGTGTCTATAACAATATGACCAAGGGTCAAATCAATATATTATAACAGAGGGCACGGTTTCAGGAGTCTTTCCGTCTGCCTTAAATATGATATTGTGGTATTATAAAATATGCCATCAGTGGTTGAATAAGTTTCACAGATATTCAAAAGCAATCTCAAAGCACTGATCGAGGGAGTCAACATCATCATATCAGCGTAACTGTTACTAATTATTAACGCCAATACTCCCTACTTAACAAGCAACGCCACGAACGAAATTATATCCGCGTACGAAAATCATAAAATATTTTAATCTAAACAATGCAATATTGATAATAATAAAAAAGTTTACTTATCATTTTAAATACCACAATTACCAGATAATTTGTACACGTGTTAATCCGAAATAAATTTGGAAAAGGTACCTATTTTTAATTAATCATTTAGACTTATCTCCATTCTTACTTTGTTATGCTTATTTAATATCTAATTATCGGTTATCGAAACTAATTAAGTAGAATAACGTCATTAATACTAGATATAATTAAAAAACAATGCCACAGACACTTAAATCTTTTATGTTAACTATCACAGTACTTGAATAATTATGTCAAAATGTTTGGAACCATTTTTAACTTATGTCAAAAGGCCGTTGACGATAAAATTAGGAATGTGCCCTATAACCCTTCTGAAGTCAGGTATAGTACAGCAGAAGCTGTAACCGATGTCGACCCTGTCGGGTTGCCAGCGGAGCCAGCTGAAGGCGTTGTTGTTCCGGCAGCGGTCCGTGCAGAACTGAAGACTGCGTGCCTCGGCGGCGGTGTAGTACGGATTGTTAATACTGACGAACGCAGTTCCAAGGCGACGGCTTGCATCATAGACCACCTAAAATGTTTGTATTATTTAAACCAATTCAAAAAACAGCTTATTAACAACATCATAAGAAATGTCATCAAAAACAAGCTTACCTTATAGAAATATAACGGCACAGGAACTTGACGAGTATTCCCCGATTCATGGAGGAAGATATCACGCAGTATACCACCTCCGTCACGGAGTTGAGTGACACGGAAGGTACCAGTATATATTACGGTGTTGTAACCTGCCTGACCGATACGGGCACGAAGATTCTAAACAAAAGAAATATACCTAGGTACATTAACGGATTAAGCAAAAACTTCTATTCCAATTTGAAACCCAAAAAAGAAACAGCACACAGTTTTTTAAACAATGATCTAAGATAGCATTATTAATAAGACTTGTTAGATCTAATTAAAAAAGGTAAAATACCTATTAACTTCAGACACAAGAGTTGAGAAGACCTGAAAGTGATTCTTGAACATTTAGGTGTTTGACGCGAGCGACGTGTCATACTATGGGTTCAAGAAAAATAAAATCAGGTACCTGTTCGAGCCAGTTCCAGTTTCCAGCGTTGAAAGGTTGCCATTGAGGAGCAGCGTTGATGAAGTAAAACGAAGAACGTTGAGCAGTCGCAAAGACAAAATCACTCTTAGCCGTGAGGTGACCCCGAGCCAAGAACTGAGTACTGGTCACATAACGGTCGGCCATAGCTTGCCCAACGATCCTTGCAATAGCTTGTTTCTGTTGAACTTGTGTGTATACACTATTGATGTTTACCCCCGGGAAGAAGCTACCAGCTGAAAATGTTTGTTAATTTTATTATGATTGCCATTTTATTAATTCTTAGAAGCTTTCTATCATCCACTCTTTGCTGAATGACAGAGTATCACAAATATTATGTCACAAATTCAGCGACACCTGGTCAGTAAGTTAAGTTATTGTCCATAATTTACTGTGAAAAATTGTAAGTCTTTGTGTCTCAGGTCGCCTACAATACACTATTAACCGGGAATACCCTGATCTTCAAAAACTTTTACTCAGTGTGCATTTCTAATTGCCCCCTGTACTTATAAGTACAGATTATTATTTTAAAATGTAACTTACCCAGCCAACTTGGTCGAGCCACATTATTCTGATGAACAGCGTTTGTGGCATCTTGGTTGTACCAAACATATAGCACTTCCAAACGATTTTGGTCGAAACATGATTGGTACCATGTACGGAAAACATTATCAACGACAAAACCAACTCTAAAATCATAACATTAGAAATTTACTTTATATTTAAATTGATCTTAAATACACGCGCCACTAATTTATTATAATATCTATAGGTATTTCATGTGTAAAATATAGTTAAGTCAATACAAAATACACCTTCTCGAATTAAGAATAGTGATTATCAAAAATAATAATTTACCTAATAACAATATTGTTGTTGAAACATCTGCCGCCCGTTGCTTGGGCCTCATGAAAAGCCTCAGCTGAACAGGTGAGTCCACCAAATTCACTATTACCATGAAGCCACCCTACTCCAGACACAAGGTTATTGTTTACACAGGTCGCAGTCTGAAAAAATATTCATTGTTTTAATAAAAAAAACACTTAACGTTTAACAGTAACGACAATAAATGGTTCTATGATTCAAACCGACATTAAGCTCAATACAAAAGTCTATCGTTTGAAAGCAGGACAGCTTAAACCGTAACTTTTTGATTGATATTTTAGTACTTCTTAAAATTAATATATATATTAAAACTTTTACAGCAGTGTGAACTGTGGAGGCTATGTTCGTATGGCGAAGGCTGCGTCCACTGCCGGGACAGCTCACGCGGATTTGCTGGCCACTGTTGACACGAATCTGGCCCGTGTTGCCGTTGGCGTGCAGAAAATTATTGCCGAGGAGGTACACAGGCTGAGGTTGGCCTAAATCACCGTTAACTCTGAAGCTACAACCTGCATTACCACACATATTAATCAAACACAAAAATATTTATTGAAAACTCAAAGCATAAAAGAAATCTTTGTTCTATTTTTTACCACTTCGCAAATCAATGTTGGCAGTTCTGTTGGCGAATTTCTGTTCTTCCATAGCAAGCCATGCGTCCAGATAGTCCTCAAAAGCATCCTCGCTCAGCAAGAAGGCTAATTCACCAGGTTCCGGCCTATTTGCTGGCAACGCTGCAACAGCCACTAATAGAGTAGCAAGTAAAACCACTACACCCATTTTGCTAACTACTCAAATTGACAGAAGCCAAGTAGTGTCTGGACAAGTCGCCAAAAACACGTCGCGATTTATTGTATTTATAGGGCGTTTTATCTAAGTTTTGTAAATATCTATCACGTGTAGAGGAAGGTTCTGCACATTATATTTACTTCAATAGCTTTTTATTGTATTCTTGTGTATTATGAATAAATAAACAAATTATTCCTAATAATATCCAAATTGTTACGACCCTTGTAATTATTACACAAAAATGGGTATTAAATTTTCTATAAAAATGGTTTTACTTGCTTACAAGTAAATCTCTCGTTTTCAATTTACCTTCTCGAATCCAATTTTTTTTATTATTCAGGTTTAAATTTTTTGATATTCACATAGAAAGCAAGGTTTTTCTTTGCAACATATAATATCTTGACCAAATTCACATTAGTTGATCGTTAAGTATCTAGGGATTTCGTGGTTGAAATATAAAAATAAATAAGCGACCGGAAAAACATGAGAAATGTATGTATTTGCTTACACAAGAATTGTTTAAAGTTATTATCTTCATTAGCCAGTATTGTACTACTGTTGATAATTATTATATATATTAGCGAATATCATAATACGGAACACGGAAATCGGAAACAAGCAACAAGTGGTTTGTATACATTCCTCTGACCCCGAACTCTACTCCAGGCACTCACCACCAAACACCATGAAATCTGGCGTGTAGTATAAACCACTCGACTACGGAGGCCGTCAATAATATAGTCCTGGGCATCTTCATCGGGGGAGTCTGTTCGTGGACAAGCAACGGCGGGTATATGGCCAAAAGTACGCCCGCACCCGCACTCTCGACACGCATTCATTCGACCGGTGCAGGAGTATTGTCTGGTTCAGCATTTTACAGACATGAGAAAAAAGTCAGTGGTATACTATGCCATGGTAAGTATTAATTTTTAAATAATTTATATATATATATATTTAAATAGGTGACAAATGATTACTGATAAAAATGATGAACTTTGGGTAAACCCTAAAATCGTGCATAACATTATCTGCAGATCTAGACAAAGAGGTTATTGTGTGTTTTAAAAATAACCCTAAGCAGGTGCTTATGCGAAGTGGTGTTTGAAGCGATCATGATAATTATTGGATTAGTTTTATTTACACCTTATCCATCATCGTGATTGCATTTGAAAATATAAGATACGGACGGCACTGCCAACTGCCAAAATTGCTAGCGCACACCTCACGAAATATACACGCATTATTGATAAAAGCAAAATGTCAATGGAAACTAATCATTAAGATAAAATAAGCAATAATTAATCAGTTAAGAAAATGTACACTCAAGCAAAGTCCGATTCGTTTGACTTTCGACTTATAGTGCCCCATCTATAAGTAACAAGACACACACAATAAACTAAGATTACAAGTAACCCCCACAATTGAATGTACCAAGGCAGTGTATTGTCAAAACTGTAAGGTCCTAATTCTCTCTTCTTCAACTAATACCTACCTGCTTTTTGATTATAAATGAACATTGTGGGCTAATGTCAGTATGTCCTTTAATAGGTATTTAAGTATGTAGCACAAAGACGAAGCAAACCCAAACACTACCCTAAATACTACACATATGTATACTGATTAGGAATCCATTAGTTAATAGGTAAATTGTGAAATAAATACACTGGGCCTTACAAAACCGCTAGTTTGTAAAATATAAAGATTTATTCATGGGAGTTTGTTGATTGGATTAGATAACACATAGTAATTCATTATGTATAATATCAAACCTAGTCCAGTCAATGCACGGTTTACCTAGCGATTCTACCAAACAGCAGCTATTAGCACTAAAATTTAACTGTAAAGTCTACTTACCCTCTACTTCATTGATGCTGTTACCCTGGGGGTGGACGCCACTTTTTCTCGGGTATGAATTGAAATTGATGAATTCAGATGTACCTATTAAGGTTTTAAACGAGCTCGTCTCATAATAATGCTTAATAATGAGCTCGTCCCATGTATATTCTATGGGGTACGAGTTGTCCACTCTGTCACGGTAATAATATATACAGTATTCTATCTTCATACAAACGGTCGGAAAGCGAATCACACCTACGCCACTCGAGTTCGGGGGAATCTAGGCGTGTTCGCAGCCTGAAATTATGGAGGGGGTCACTCACTAGACTAATAAAAAAAACGAGTCCAACTCGCGCACCGAAGGATCCGTACACACCTGAATTTTCAAAAATATTTTTTATAATATGATGTAACTAAAAATTTGCTGTTTTCGCAATTTTTCCTTTAGGCGATTATCACACGGCACCGCGCACCGCCGCGGAGGGCGGTGGCGGTAACGCGGATTTCGCAGCGGTGCACCGCGCGGTAAGGCGGTTTACGCGCCTGTACGCGCGGATGGATTTAACGCGGTTTTGACCAGTTTGATTGCAGACGCTGGCAAGAATGGACGCTGAAGTGGTGGCAGCAATCTGGCTTTTATGGCGCAGAAAGAAAAAAATAAGAAGATACTGGGTTCATCCATTTTTACGAAGCAGAACTCTAAATGGGTCATTCATGTTATTCTATAAAAGTTTGAGAAAATACGAAGATATTTTTTTTAATTATACGCGAATGTCCACTTCTTCATTTGATTATTTGTTAGCAAAAATAAGGAAAGCAATTTCTGGAGTAAATACAAACATGCGTCCTTGTATTTCGCCGGAAGAAAAGCTTCTTGTGACCTTGAGGTAAGTGAAGAAGAAAATACACATTTTTCCATTTTATATTTTTATTACTTTAAATAATCAGTCTGTCAATTATTCTTGTTATTAAATCTACCTCAGTCTTTTTTGAAGATTTTTTAGATTTTTGTACCTACATCTAATTATAATTAGTAATTTTAATTTCTTATTTAGTAATCAAATCACAGTTATTTTTTCTTTATCACAGGATCAACCACGTATTTATGTGTCTACCTTAAACTAATTAACATAATCACAGCTTTCTATCTTCCGCACAATGAGCATAATTTCTTATTTAGTAATCAAATTACAGTTATTTTTTCTTTATCACAGGATCAATCACGTATTTATGTATCTACCTTAAACTAATTAAAATAATCACAGCTTTCTATCTTCCGCACAATGAGCATAATTTCTTATTTAGTAATCAAATCACAGTAATTTTTTCTTTATCACAGGATCAATCACGTACATATTTATGTATCTACCTTAAACTAATTAACATAATCACAGCTTTCTATCTTCCGTGCAATGAGCACACTATGGTTTTAAAACAGTGATAAAATCTCCGATTCATCAGTAATGTTTGAATTAACTGTGGTGGGTGTTGCTGGTATTGCTTCTATAATATTATCTGCAATTCCGGCAGCAGAGGTCCCTTGCTCGTTTTGCTGGTGCGCATATGATGAAGTATTCGTATAATAACCCTGATTTTGATTATTAGTATAGGACATTGTAGCGTCGCCTGACTCTTTATAATTGTACATTTCATCCTGAGCTTGTGATATGTATCTAATTATATTTATTTTCACGACAGATTTTAATCGATCGGGTACTTTCTTGAAATCAGGCACCAAAGAGAGCATAAACTGTCGGTCAGGATCTTCTTCGTTTTCTTTTTTGTTTATTGAAGTTTTCAGGGTATCGATTAACTCTCGCGTCATTTCTTCAGCAGGATCAGATTTCTTTCTTTTAGTACCTAAGGCTCTGTCTTCATATGGTCCTCCAACTGATTCATTACCTTCCCCGACTGATTCATCGTCTCCTGCAGACAAACTGTTCTGAGTTTTATTTTTTCCAGCGTAAGGTTTTAAAAATAACAATTGATTATAAAATCTATACTGATTATTTTTCTTAGCTCCTGCTCCGCTCTTTATATTTTTTTGTCTTCGACACTCCTTCATGAAGGCGTCTCGAAGGTTTTTCCACTTTATTTGTAGCGAGCGCCCTGTAATAAAAAAATATATTGTTTCAGATACCTGGCCACGGGGTGTTCCTTTACCGATCTGCATTACAGTTATCGACTTGGTATATCAACCATACGAAATATTGTAGAAAAAGTGTGTGATGCATTATGGGATGTAATGAAAATGGAGTGTTTTCCCGAACCTACAACTGAAATGTGGTTAAATGTAGCTGAAGGATTTAAGTCAAGAGCCAATTTTCCTCATGTTTTAGGTGCCTTAGACGGTAAACATGTGCGTGTTATCAAACCATCTCTAACTGGATCGCTGTACTACAATTATAAGCATTATTTTTCCATCTTACTGCTGGCTATTTGTGATTCTAATTACAAATTTATATACGTTGACATAGGTGCTTATGGGAAATGCAGTGATTCTACAGTTTTTCGTGATTCCATTTTTTACCAAAAACTTCAAGATGGAACTCTTAATATACCAAACTCCTCTGCAATTACTGGTATCACCAATTCCGTACCATATTTTTTTATCGGAGATGAAGCTTTCAATATCTCAAACAATGTTCTACGACCCTATGCAGGACATCACTTAAATTACACTAAAAGAGTTTTTAATTATCGCTTGAGCAGGGCACGTAGATATATTGAGTGTGCATTCGGTATTTTAACACATAAATGGCGTATATTTCAACGCCCTTTGAACGTAAACAGAATTTTATCTATAAAAATTATTAAAGCATGTTGTATACTTCATAATTTTGTTAGGGAAAGACATGGCGTTGATTTTAAGGATATTTTATATACAAACAATGAGACGGAGGGAATAGTTAATATACCGATAGACAATAATTGCAGAGGAAGCACAAGTGCTGCAGCGATCCGTAATAATTTAGCTGATTATTTTGTAAATGAGAACCCGCTACCATGGCAAAGTCAATATGCTTAAATTTAAAATAAATATTTTTTTAAAACTTACCGAGTTCTTTCTTTTCTTTGTCAGAAGTTTGTCCTGGCTCCAAATATAAGGTAACAATTTCTTCCCATTGTTTCAGTTTTAGGAGTCTATCACTATATTGTGTGCTTTTCATGTCCCAGATAGCAGAGCGACTTTGAATCTCTGAAATAA